TTATATATATTAAATTATATTGAAAAGTAATTTCTTAATATTCGCGATTTTAACTAAAACAACTTATATTTTGAAACGGAGTGAGTGTATCTTTTCACTTTTTATCTCGTTGAACATTTTGTTAATCATGCCTACTGTTTCTGTAATTAACTTAACATATAGCAAAGATAAAAAAAAAAGTCATTCGATTATTTTCAAATTATTTAATAGCATTAAACTTTTTACTATTGTAAAAGTTCCAAAAATTCTTGATTTGTGTAAAGAGTTTTAGATTTTTTTAGACAATTTATATTTTATGGCAAATTTTACATATAAAAAAAACTAACAAAATCTAACAATTGTTTACGGAAACATTGATTCTTTATATTCGAAAGAAGTTTTTACGGGTTGTATACATCGAAATATTGAAGCCGCATTAACATTACTACAAAATAGAGGCACCCACAAACAATTTGGTTTTCAAATATATTTTTTATATGCATTGGACGATTTAAAAATTTTAAATTAAAATGAAACAATTTAAGTGGCGTAAAAATCCATGAGTTATTCTATTGGTTAGACGAATAGCTATGGTTCTAATCCGTGAAATGAGTGAGGAAAGAAAAACGTTTTTTTGCCAAGGGTTACGTTTTTACCATATAACCGATTTTACAAGAGTTGCATCTTCGGAATAACCGTTTTATGGTTATTTAAGGTTGTGTCTTTTCAGAAATAATGGTTATTTCCAAGAATTGCATCTTTTTTATATAATCGTTTTTTTAAGAGTTGTGTGTTTTCGATATAACCGTATAATGGTTATTTCCAAAGGTTGCATCTACTATATAGATAACCGCTTTATGGTTGTGTTCTTTTGAAAATAACCACTTTATAGTTATTTTCAAAAATTGTGTCTTTTCGAAAAAAATCCTTTATTGGTTATTTTGAAAGATTGCGTTTATTCAATATAACAGCTTTATAATTATTTCTAAGAATTGTCTTTTTTTATATAACCTCTTTCTCAAAAGTTGCCTTTTTATATAACCGTTTTATGGTTATTTAAGATTGTATCCTTTAGAAAAAAACCGTTTTATGGTTATTTCTAAGGGTTGCATCTTTTTGATATAACTGCTTTCTAATTATTTCCAAAGATTGCATTTAATATGTAGATAACCGCTTTATGGTTGTGTTTTTTCGAAAATAATCTTTTTATGGTTATTTCCAAAATTTGCATTTTTCAGTAGAATCACTTTATAGTTATTTCCAAGGGCCGCGCATTTTCAATATAACTGTTTTGTGGTTGTGTCCTTTCAAAACTAACCGATTTTCAAAAATTGACCATTTTATGGTTATTTTTCATAATTCTAAAAAATAATTTGTTGTGTTGTGCGTTTACAAATACCTTTTTATCTTTTTATTTCTACTATTAAAAAATGTTTTTACATTTACATTGTATACTTATTTATTATCATATTAAATATAATTTTAATTTTTTTTTAACAAATAACATTTTTACCCCGCGATTTCGCGAGGGTTCGAGTCCTAGTATATATAATTTCAAAGTTTTCTCTCCATCTAAGATGTCCACATAAGCAAAATAATTCTTTTATAATAAATATATTTTAATGTATCATTTAATTCATGTTTATATATATTTATTGTTACTTATAACTAGTAAAATTTAATAAATAAATAAATGACAAAAAGTCATACATTCAAAATCATTTGACTATTTTCATATTGTAAATACAAATTACAACAATAGATATATTTATTTGAGAATAATAAATATATTTTTAACTTATGATCATGAGAAATATTTACAATCAATTTAAAATTG